AATTACATGACCTCACATGAGGTGACCTTGTAATAACCATGGTCGTATACGTCAGTTAACGTAAAATCAGACGATTCATATTTCGCTCAATAGCCCACAAAACATGTAGCTATACTTTCTTTATTTGAGTCCCCCGTCTCAGGACTCCGTTTTCTCATCGCTTCAGGACACCTGGATACTCCATTTTCTCTCTATCTTAGAGTGCACCCACGACTTCGTTATTCCTTAGTATAATGACAGAATTTGAAATTGCAACTGTGGTTGCATAAGTTGAGGCAACTTAGATATCTCTGATTACAGTTGGAACTTTCAAGATCCATTGTGAGTGATGTTGAAAGCTTCAACTGTCCTTATTGTCGGTAAAACTTGTCAAGTAAGTGAGTGTCAAGTCTGTCAGTACGAGTGGCATGTCCTTATATCGTCCTTGGGGATAACCATGAGTTTCCAATTGCTACTGAAGTTAGATTATTTTGATGCCCAAACATTAGAGAATCTGATGTTTGTAGTTCAGTTAGTGTCAGTTGTCTATTTCAGAAAGTCACTAATCTCCTGAAAAGATTCAGTCAAACTCAAAATCTCCAAAACCTAACGGCTCTCTCCAGGAAGAATTCCTTGACTGTGGTTTGTGGTTTCCGGTAAGTAGAGTTGTTAGTACGTGTTTAACGTCCATTTCACTTTTTCCTGACAAACTCAATCTCTGATTAGATAATAACAATAGACATAAGAAATTAACCTGACCCGTGACACTAACATTCATAGCTGAGTGTACAGCGACTAAGTTGAATAGAATTTCTGTTGTTGATGAGATTAGCCTTTCTGGTATGTATCTTTCTGGTATGTATGCGTAGGCCGGAACTGCCCCAGACTCACATATATACGAATGCACAAGGGAGACTCACATTAGTGACTCTTCCTTTATTTACTTTTTTACTTTTATCCTCTTCGCCACTGATCGGCTTGTTAGCCGCTTGGGCGATCGGTCACGTCTCTGATTACTTTTCCTTTTCATTTATCTTCTTCACCAAAAGATCGGCTCGCTAGCCGCCCGGGCGATCGGTCACGTCTCTGTCACGCACTGTTGGCAAATACTGGGCATGCACCGGCTCCTGAATGTACCTGAACCCGCTCCAGTGTTGGTCAAGTCTTGTCTTGAAAGAGCTCACACTCGGTGCCGTCACAACACTCTCTGGTAGATTGTTCCAAGAGTTCACAACCCTCACTCCAAAAAAGTTTGCCCTCACGGTTTTCTGGACTTGCGGCTTCTTCAATCTTGAGCTGTGACCCCTTGTGGGGCGAGCGTCCGCCATCTCCAAGTAAGGACACTCAACTGAGTAGTGCCCCCTGAGATGCTTATACACCTCAACTAGGTCCCCTCTTGCCCGTCTGTAGTATAAGCTAGGCAAGTTCAGGCGCTCCAATCTCTCAGGGTAACTGAGGTGCCGAAGTGCAGGCACCAGTCTGGTGGCCCTCCTTTGAACATTTTCAACCAACTGACAGTCCCTAGCATATCTCGGGGACCAGATGGGGTGACAGTACTCCAGACGGGGAGGCACTTCACTCCTGAAGATCGTTACGAGTGACGGACCGTCTTGATATCTGAACGACCTTCTTATAAGACCCATTAATATATTTGCCTGATTTACCTTCTTCTCACAATGGCCCGAGAACTTCAGCTCATTGTCAACATACACACCTAGGTCCTTCTCACACACAGTCTCAACTAGTGCAGTTTCTTCATCCCGTTGGGACATATGATACGCCTCCTTACCGTTGGTACGCCCCAGGTGCATCCTCTTACACTTCGTTACATTGAATCTCAGCAGGCATTTCTTCGACCATTCCTGTAGCCCACAGAGGTCCTTCTGCAGCTCTTCACAGTCCGCTTGGTTCTTAATTTCCCGAAATAACTTGGCGTCATCGGCAAACATTTTTATGGAGGAGTGTACAACGTCAGGCATGTCATTTATGAAACAAACAAACAACAGCGGCACTGCCCTGTGGTACCCCACTTGTGACAGGTACAGATGACGATTTCGTACCATTAATCATCACACACTGCTTGCGGTCATGTAGAAAGTCTTCTATCCACGCTAGGACATTTCCCCGAATTCTCCAGGCACTGTCTGTGGTGGCACCACTACTGAGGTTCGGTAGCCGCCTATGGGCAAGATGGTTCTTGAAGGATGTCTTGAATATGGTGAGATTAGAATCCGAGGACAAGATTACTCGGGGAACGCAGTGCGGAATTAAAGTGCCATGTTGTTCATTCCAAACTAGCAGGATGTGTTTGATAATATCTTAATTTTGGATCTTGTCGAGTGTGTTATATAATCATCTGTATTGACAATGAAGTAATATAATGAGTGTGTAGTGTTGTAATCAAGAAATTTATATCTATGTTGCTATGTGTAAAGTAAGACCTAAGTGAACAACTCTGGTCCGAGTGTAATTAATTAATATCTTATTCACTCCATATGTTAATAAATATTGGATAAGTAAACTACAAGTATCACCACTCTATTCCTTCTACCCATTGGTTCTCTAAATAGCTATTATAACTCACGTGCCTAGAAGCTCGTAGCAGGCTACCTAACAGTTCCATGAGATATGTTGTATTCTAATAAAAGTCTGGGTGGTGGCAGGATACCGTTGTAAGTATAATAAGTGTTGTAATAATCATGACATGGTTTCGAATATAACTAGAACAAAATATAATATGAAATAGTATAAGGAGGAAAACAGGACTCTTACAAATTGGTGACTTAGAAAATATAAGAAAGAATATAAGTATATAAATATATTGAAGGTATAAAAAGAAAAAGTATATGAAATAGTATGAAGTAAGAAAAGTCCGCCCCTTATACCACAACATTAAATATAAACACCAGTGACGAAAACTTATATTTTGCAGAATGAAATAGAGAACAGTGATGAAAACTTCTATGTTGGAGTTATCAGTCTTTCGCATCATTTTGGCACCCAGCAAGTAAATACCCACGATGATACTTGAGCAGTAATTTATTTTAACCTAAAACTAAGGTATGCTTGTGTAAACATTGATATGGCCACAAGTCCTGTATTTCTGCTGGTAGCAACACATACACCAGAACTGGCTGCCTCCAGGTCCAGGCTCCTGCTCGGCAATAGAGGTTCACGTTGCTTAACAAAGACGAATGAACAGGCTTTGTATGAAATAAAATAATGCCTAGGGTCGCCTTTGTTGTCTTTGCAGAGCGGTGGTTCCGATCCCTATTCACACGCAGAGGTCAATTCCCGACTAGCGAGGTATTTTTTGTATATGGAAATCCGCTTGCTATATAGACTGATGAGATATCTATACATACATATATATAAGATTAGACCCTTGTGGTACTCCACCGACAACTTTTTTCCCATCTTAATCTACTCATTTACTGTATGGCCACCCTTTGTTACCTCTTTGAGCCAATATTTAATGTAATACAATATTTTGCTTGTGATGTCGTGTGGCTGGATCTTACGAGGCCAGCCGTGCATGTGTAATTTTGACAAATGCCTTAGAAAAATCAAAGGAAGGGGAGTGAATTTGTCAGACTAGATCTTTTCTCCATGAAACAAGGTGGTTAAGAATGGCATCATGGCATCATGAACCAGTTACCAGATTGGAAACTTTCCTTTCAACAGTTCTGTTGGGTCACGGTGACCAGTCCTGGAGGTAATGCTTAAAATGGGATCAGAAATTCTGCAAATAGTGAGAAGAGAAAAAGATGTTCTTCCCTAGACTGCCACGGAAACACTGTCTCCATGTGACAATAAACTTCAATGGTTGATGTGTGTTACCTCTCACGTTACAGTGCGAGAGGTAAGTGTTTACACTAACACCCGAAGTATTATACATTAAGACAAAGCGGGATGGCTCTGGTGCACGTTCACAATGATAAGCAGCTGGATGCTGAGGTTTGGTGAGCTACACCGAAGAAGGCTGATGTGACCACCAATTGTACTCAACTACTGATGGAAGGTCATATTTTATCTTCGGCACTCAAGGTTTAGTCCTGTTTAAGTATACCTGTAACATTTTGCATTGATTAAATGGTAAAAAAAACCAGAAAATATATAGTTTTTTGTTTTGTTTACTTTCATCATTTTCGCCACTGATCGGCTCGTTAGCCGCTTGTGCGGTCGGTCACGTCTATGTTACGCACTGTTGGCAAGTACTGGGAATGAACTGGCTCCTGAATGTATCGGAACCTGCTCCAGTGTTGGTCAAGTCTGGCCTTGAAAGAGCTCACATTCGGTACCGTCACAACACTCTGTGGCAGATTGTTCCAAGAGTTCACAATTCTCACTCCCGCTGTTTTCTGGACTTGCGGCTTCTTCAACCTTGAGCTGTGACCCTTTGTAGGGCGGGCGTCTGCAAGCTCCAGGTATGTTAATACACTTCAATTAGGTCCCCCCTTGCCCGTCTGTAGTATAAGCTACGCAGTTGCAAACATTCTAATCTCTCTGGGTAGCTAAGGTTCCGTAGACGGCGCAGAGCAAGCACCAGTCTGGTGGCCCTCCTTTGGACAATTTCAATAAATTGACAGTTTCTACTATAACTCGGGGTCCAGACGGGGAAGCACCTCACTCTTGAAGATCGTGACGAGGGACGGACCATCTAGATATCTGAACGACCTCTTATAAGACCTACTAGTCATCTTTTTGTCACATTGGTCCGAAAACCTAGAGGTCGTCGCATGCCAAGAATGTGTGTTGTCTTATGATATAAATGCCTTCCAAATGGCTGAAGTACATTTAAAAATTCAATAGTTTCTAAGAGCTGCCCCCCCCCCCCTCACTGTCCTCTTGGACCTTGAATCCTGTTTAAGACCCAAGACTCTACCTCCAAATAGGTCATATTTAGGATCTCAATCCGCCCCTGTACACAACCATTAACCATTACCCTGTAGCCAAGTGATCATCCTAATATGCTGTAAGTTCCTATGGTATGACACGCACGCACACACAGAGTGCCTCACCTGTGCTTCCTGGAGAGCATGTTCTCGAGGGCGAGCCTGTCTCTCAAGAGGAAGATGTTGTCGAGTGCGAGGGGTGTGTAGGGTAGGCCACTCTGCAGCATGTGAAGAAGCGCTGACCCCACCTGGTACACCACCGTCCACACCAGCTCCTCCGGCACTGAGCATCCACACGCCGTCAATCGCGTCTGTTGACACCAGGAGCGTAATTAGTGATGTTGAGCCTGATGTATCGGTACTGTGTCATGTACTGTGTGTCGTGTACTATGTATGTGGGAGGTACTGTGTGTCGTGTACTATGTATGGTGTACTGTGTATCGGTACTGTATGTCGTGTACTGTGTATGGTGTACTATGTGTCGTGTACTGTATATGTGGGAGGTACTATGTGTCGTGTACTGTATATGTGGTGTACTATGTGTCGTGTACTGTATATGTGGAATACTGTCTCGTGTACTGTGTATGGTGTACTGTGTCGTGTACTATATGTGGAATACTGTGTGTCGTGTACTGTATAGGTGGGAGGTACTATGTGTCGTGTACACTATGAGTGAGAACGAGGATTTTTGTTGCTCCGCTCAAGGGATGTGGTCCTGTAGCACTAAAGAGCTTCACTTGACATACTGAAGAAAATGTCGTATACAGTATATAGTATCTATGGGTGAGTGAGGCCAAGAGTCGAGAACACCGTCAGTATAGGGAACTTCTGGGTCGGGTACGAACTAAAAAATTTTTTTATTGATTGCTGACTAAATATTGTGGATGACAGCTGACTTATTATATGGACGTCACATAGAGACACTGTACAGTAATATTTACAATGTGTCCAACCTTGTGTACCAAAGTGAACTATGTATTTAATTAATTACCAAGTCATAGTTCTCTAATCACTGCTCAAGACACTCAGTGAATAAATTTAACTTTAGGGAACTCATTAAAATGTACAGTATAGGTACTTTTAAGTTACTGAATAACGAACATGGATAACAGTAGATGAACTGCTACTGTTGTGAGAACCCCCGTAGGAGCCGCCGCCGGCGGTGTCAACAGCAGAAGGCGCTGACGGTGTTCTCTCACTCACCTGGATCTGGTCGAGGGTGGCGATGGGTGTGTCGAGCAGGTAGAAGGCGTTGCTGGTGACATCATCGTAGACGACGCCCCACACGCTCATGATGTAAGGATGGTCCACCCAGAACCACGCGTCTGCCGACCATCCCAGCCAGTGCCACCCGCCCTGTAGGGACAACAATACCTTCACTGCCAAGCTCACTCAGCTAATTGACACAAAGAAACATATCCTATAAAGTATTCATAATGAAGTGTGACTCAATTCAATTCATTTTATCACCTACAATCCTAGATTTTTCCAAATTCTGTACTTCTAATCTGGATCGACATTCACTACAGCTAGTGATAAATAAAAACTAATTCAGCCCTGTGTGGAGGCCAGCACCTCTCCAAAGTTCAAACACAGACAACCAACGTGAGATTCCCCTCACCCTTGCCAGGTACAGTATTGGAAGAGGGGGAGCAAGAGTGAGCAAGTCATGCACTTGTGAAACTTCTGACGTATGATGGTACTGAAATGCAAGATATCTTGCTGGGGGAGGGGGAGGCATAGAGGCTAGGCAGCTATCATCAGTGCCACACGACGCCTGCGTCAGGTGGGTCACGCCAAGACCATGACACTCATATGTCATATGTTGTGCTTGTCAGTGGCTCATATAAGTCTGCGAGATAAACACATCACGTTTCACATCGCCTTCATCTTCAATAGTTTCTGTGGGAAGTGAACTTTTCTCAGTGTCTTCACAGGCGAAATTCACCATAAGTAACTTAATCATTAGTAATAACACACACAACTTTTTATCTGTGTTATGGATCCACTGGCCACATATAATACAGGTCGTCCATAAAAATTTTATTCCGGTTTTAAAATTATATTACAACCGATCCAAAAGAGATACAATAATATGGCTTCCTCCATGTTGCCTTAATCTGAGTGACAATTTTCTATTACATGGTTACTAAATAAAGATATATGTATCTTCTGTACACCTCTACAAACGTCATCACACTTCTACACAATTCCATACAGATCTACACACCATCACACATCTCAACACAACTTAAACACGCCTCTACACGTCTTCACACATCTCAACACAACTTAAACACGCCTCTACACGTCTTCACACATCTCAACACAACTTAAACACGCCTCTACACGTCTCCACACATCTCAACACAACTTAAACACGCCTCTACACGTCTTCACACATCTCAACACAACTTAAACACGCCTCTACACGTCTTCACACATCTCAACACAACTTAAACACGCCTCTACACGTCTTCACACATCTCAACACAACTTAAACACGCCTCTACACGTCTTCACACATCTCAACACAACTTAAACACGCCTCTACACGTCTCCACACATCTCAACACAACTTAAACACGCCTCTACACGTCTTCACACATCTCAACACAACTTGAACACGCCTCTACACGTCTTCACACATCTCAACACAACTTAAACACGCCTCTACACGTCTTCACACATCTCAACACAACTTAAACACGCCTCTACACGTCTTCACACATCTCAACACACTACCTAGCAGGTGATGGGAGGTGGTTAGTCGTCTTTATTATCAGGTTCAAACTGTTGCCACATTTACCAGGTTATTATAGTAATTTTGATCTTACTGATCCAACTTAAGATGGGCCCTGTCCTGAAGGGTTATTCTCACAAGCTATGGTTACTCTCACAAGCTTTGGTTACTCTCACAAGCTTTGGTTACTCTTACAAGTTATGGTTACTCTCACAAGCATTGGTTACTCTCACAAGCTTTGGTTACTCGCACAAGTTATGGTTACTCTCACAAGCTTTGGTTACTCTCACAGGCTTTGGTTACTCTCACAAGTTATGGTTACTCTCACAAGCTTTGGTTACTCTCACAAGCTTTGGTTAATCTCACAAGCTAGGGTTACTCTCACAAGCTTTGGTTACTCTCACAAGTTTTGGTTACTCTCACAAGCTATGGTTACTCTCACAAGCTTTGGATGCTCTCACAAGTTATGGTTACTCTCACAAGCTTTGGTTACTCTCACAAGCTATGGCTACTCTCACAAGCTTTGGTTAATATCACAAGCTTTGGTTACTCTCACAAGCTATGGTTACTCTCACAAGCTTTGGTTACTCTCACAAGCTTTGGTTACTCTCCCAAGCTTTGGTTACTCTCACAAGCTATGGTTACTCTCACAAGCTTTGGTTACTGTCACAAGCTATGGTTACTCTCACAAGCTTTGGTTAATCTCACAAGCTTTGCTTAATCTCACAAGCTTTGGTTAATCTCACAAGGTTTGGTTACTCTCACAAGCTATGGTTACTCTCACAAGCTTTGGTTACTCTCACAAGCTTTGGTTAATCTCACAAGCTTTGGTTAATCTCACAAGCCTTGGTTACTCTCACAAGCTTTGGTTACTCTCACAAGCTATGGTTACTCTCAAGCTAGGGGCTTCTCTCACAACCTAGGGGCTACTCTCACAAGCTAGGGGGTACTCTCACAAGCTATAGTTACTCTCACAAGCTAGGGGCTACTCTCACAAGCTATGGTTACTCTCACAAGCTAGGGGCTACTCTCACAAGCTATAGTTACTCTCTCAAGCTATGGTTACTCTCAAGCTAGGGACTACTCTCACAAGCTAAGGGCTTCTCTCTACACGCTATGGTTACTCTCAAGCTAGGCTCCCTCTCACAAGCTAGGGGCTTCTCTCACAAGCTAGGGACTACTCTCACAAGCTAGGGGCTTCTCTCACGCTGGGCTTCTCTCAAGCTAGGGGCTCTCTCACAAGCTAGGGGCTCTCTCCACAAGCTAGGGACTACTCTCACAAGCTATGGTTACTCTCACAAGCTAGCTTCTCTCACAAAGCTAGGGGCCCTCTCACAAGCTAGCTTCTCTCACAATCTAGGGACTACTCTCACAAGCTAGGGACTACTCTCATAAGCTATGGTTACTCCTACAAGCTATGATTACTCTCAAGCCAGGGGCCCTCCTCACAAGCTAGGGGTTTCTCCAAGCTAGGGACTACTCTCACAAGCTATGGTTACTCACAGCTATAGTTACTCTCACAAGCTAGGGGCTACTCACAAGCTATGGTTACCTCTCCTAAGCTAGGGGCTTCTCCTCACAAGCTAGGACTACTTTCACAAGCTATGGTTACTCTCACAAGCTATAGTTACTCTCACAAGCGGTTACTCACAGCTAGGGGCTACCTCAGCTATGGTTACCTCACAAGCTATAGTTACCTCACAAGCTAGGGGCTACCTCAATGCTTATGGTTACCTCACAAGCTAGGGGCTTCTCTCACAAGCTAGGGACTACTTTCACAAGCTATGGTTACTCTCACAAGCTATAGTTACCTCACAAGCTATGGTTACTCACAAGCTAGGGGCTACTCTCACAAGCTATGGTTACTCTCACAAGCTTAGGGGCTACTCTCACAAGCTAGGGGCTACTCCTCACAAGCTATGGTTACTCTCACGCTAACAACCTCTTTAAATAAGTGATTTTTTACTTATTTCTACGTGTGTGTGTGTGTGTGTGTGTGTGTGTGTGTGTGTGTGTGTGTTTGGCCAGCACCACGAAACATTTGGCTCTCGTTCGCTGCGTTGGCGTCATTCACAGTGCGCCAGCTTCCCCTCCCCCGCCACCCTCACCACTACAACTAACATTCACCAATACCACCAGCATCCACCAGTACCACTACAATCATCCTCACAGCACCAACACCACCATAGGAACATAAGAATGGAGGAAGCTGCCCATACTAGACAGTCCCGTTTACACCCAACTCCTATCGCTCATATATCTGCCCAACATATATTTGAAGCTACGCAGCGTGTTCGAGTAATGATGAAGTACGGTAAATAGTCCACTCATCCACTACTCTATTTCCAAACCAGTGTTTACCTATCTCGCGCCTAAATCTAATTTTTTTCTAATTTAAAACCATTGTTACAAGTTCGATCCTGGTTGGATAGTTTGAGTACCTTTGTTATATCACCTTTGTTCAGCCCTGACTTCCATTTATACACCTCGGTCATATCGCCCCTCAATCTACGTCTCTCGAGGGAGTGCAAATTCAGACGCTTTAACCTGTTTCTGTATTCAAGGTTCCTCATACCATGGATTAGTCTTGTCATCCTCCTATGCATGTTTCTTAGGATTCGATATCCATACTGTAGTACGGTGACAAAACTGAACTGCATAATCCAAGTGGGGTCTCACAAGCGCAAGATATATAATTTCAGGATAGCCTCGCTAGTCTTGAAACTAACACTCCTTTGTATGAACCCAAGTACTTTGGTAGCCTTGTTTCGAGCAAAGACACATTGTTTACTTGGTTTAAGATTTCTACTTATCATTAACTCTAATTCTTTCTCACCGTCGGACTTCTATATCAACGTTGTTCATCTGACATCTGGTTTCTCTGTTTACATCTCCTAGACTAAGTACTTTACATATTCCACATTAAATTTCATTTGCCACTTTTCAGATCATGCGAAAAATTTGTTTAGATCTTCCTGTAGTTTTGCCGAGTCTTCGTCAGATTTAATTTCTCCCTATTTTAATGTCGTCAGCAAATTTATTCATGTTGCTGTCTACGCAGATGTCTATGTCGTTTATGTATAAAATAAATGATAATGGTCCAAGCACTGAGCCTTGGGGTACTCCACTAGTGACGTCACCCCAATCAGATATGTGCCATTAATACGGACTGTTTCCTGTCCTGTAACCACACCCGAATCCAGTTTAGAAAACCTCCTCCAATTCTATGAGCCTCCACTTTACATATTAGTCTTTCGTGGGGGACCCTGTCGAAGGCTTTGCTAAAGTCGAAGTAAACCACATCAGAATCGTGTCCGTCATCCACTGATCCAAAAACAGTTGAAAAGAATGATAATAAATTTGTCAGACATGAACGCCTACTTGTGAAGCCATGCTGGGAATCATGCTGGATCAATTTGTGTTTCTCAGGGTGATTTTGAATTGAGTTTGAAATTATTGCTTCCAATAATTTGCCTACAATTGATGTTAAACTGATTGGACGGTAGTTTGAGGATAGTGATTTATCTCCCTTCTTGAAAATCTGTATCACATTCGCTATCCTCAAGGACTAAGTTCTCTCTTACGTTTCTTTAATACTCTGGCAAATATATCG